CACACACACACACACACACTTGCACCCAACCACCCCCACCGCCGCCACCCCTGATTCCGCTGGAGAAATGATTATTAGGAATTTAATGGGGGAACGTTTCCCATCCCAGACCATCTGGGGCTTGGGAATGGAACAAGATTCGAGGATGCTTGCCTGGCGACGTGGCGGGGGGAACATCATTTTCATTTTTCTTTTTGCATGGGGCAGGAAGGAAAGTGATACTGTTTGCAATGAATGACTAATAAATGTTGTTTTTTTTAATCTAAATTAGATATTTGTATGAGCTTGTGAAGACATTTGTCTTTTCATTTCTGCTTTAGAAGAATGCATTAAAGTTGATTGTCATCCATTTTCCGCCTTTCTGTTTACATCTGTTTTGCACTTTGGGGAAAGTCTTTCCATATTATTTACTGTATAGAAATAAATCTAATTTCTGTCCTTAACCTCCCACACAGACTCTGTCCATATGCTCTGTTTCTCTCTCTCTCTCTCCCTCCCTCTGTCTCTCCAAGCTTAACGAGCTGCATGAATGTAAGGGGTGCGTGTACACGTTTGACCCCGTGCTAAACTGCAGCGCGCCGCCCTGTGAACTCTGTGGGCGTGGAGCAAACTCCTTCCTCCACTCCTCTGCGCCCTCACCCCCGAGGCCTCTAAGTGAAGCATCAAAAGGAATTTGAAGATGCCTCTCTTATAAGCACACGTACAATAATTCACACACACACAGTGAAAATGTTTATGGTCTTGGTGATCTGTGGTGAAATGTGGGCCTCGGGAGACACTTTAAAGGCCCCAGGAGGACATCCAGTCACTCTGATGAATAAAGACAAGAAAACAAGCCTGTTTTCAGTTAGGTAAAAAAAAAAACACAATTACATTATCGAGCTGATTTCACAGTAAATATGTTTAATTGGTTTTGTACGTCAACATGAAGAAAGGGGAGAGATTGTTTGCGGTTGAGAATGGCATCTTCATTCGTCGAGCTTCCTTTGTTTGTTATTTTGTTTTCATTACCGCTTTCAATTTGCACAAATGAATCGGGCCTTGCTTCATATACGCAGGGATCCATTTGCTTCATGTGTTTGCTGAAACACTCATGAGTTTGGGAAAAAAATAACACTCTCTGCTCTGAAAATGCAGCAAAAAAATTGTAGAATTGGGATGATTTACAACACTGGAGCAAATAATCCACACTGAGAGGAGCAAAAGGACAGAAAGCTGCTCAAGCTGTTGCACATGTGAGGTTTATTTACAGCAATTACAGATTTAACAGGGTTTTTAAAAAAACGTGTATTTTAACATATTCCTTTTCAGACTCCATGTGCTGGGCTCCTATTAGTTGCTTGGAAATGGATGGTGGGGGTTAATGGGAGTTGATGTCAGCTCATCGGGGCTTTTTTTAAAGTGTGGCTCCTCTCTTTAATTTGATTTTCTGCAAGAATCCCGACACAAGTCTGATCACAAGACTTAAAGCTCCAAGATCAGCTGGCAGGATGTCTCTTCTGGCTCAGTTTGTTGTTTTTAGCAACTTGCTGACCTTGTGCAATGTGAACACAGCTTCTAAATGTTGCTGCTTAACTAGTGATGTTGCAAAAGGAAAAAAAAAATATATATATAACAGTGAAAGGGGGCTTTTCATCCATTTCGTGGACTGATAACATCAGAATCCCCTGCTTTTTCTGGGCTTAAACACAAAGGTGTGCCTTATTTAGATTTTATTTTGTTTACTCATCATCTAATTAAAAAAAACTAATATATTCAGTGATCATCCCGCTTTAGTCATCATATTTATCCTTCCAGAGCATGGCAGAAATGCTGCGAGCAATCTGATTTAAACCGAGAGGAGTCGAATTAAAAGAGAAGCAAATATCTCACAGATATTTCCAATAAACAGGAGAACTGTTGATCTTGGGTTTTGTTGTTGAGGAGATGGCTTGTCGTTTAGTAATGTTGCCTCAGGGGATCATCGACTCCTTCTCCTCTCCAAACTGCGAGGATCAACTGCCTGCGCTGTCTGGATGACATCCAACACCTCCTGCGCGTTTCTGACACAAATCAGCCATCTGATCAGCTGGAAGGCAGTCGGAATATTATATATTTAAATTTGACAAAAAGAAAACTTTATTAAAGAAAACCCATTTTAATGGATTGCTTCTTAAGTAGAGCTTTGGTGGTAACTTTTAAAATCGGGCCTGCAGTGAGCCGCCACATCCTTTTCAGGTCATGCACGATTACTTTATTCATTTTCAGAGAGAGAGAGAGAAAAAAATAAGGAAATAAATAAATAAAACTAATGCCCCGTGGCGGTTTTATCTTCATTTATTTCCCCACTATTGTTGTTGTTGTTATTATTATTTTTTTCCTTCTTAATTGCCATCTGCTGTCGGTCATTGCCACAGACATCTGAGAAGCTCCAGCAGAAAGCCTCCCACAGCCTCTCCTTCTTCTTCTCCTTCTTCTTCTCCTTCTTCTTCTTCCTTTTTTATTTAGAATTTTATTGCGACAAAAAACACACACACATCACAAAACATTCACACATTACTTCACGAAGAATTCGATCCATAACGAGTTTGCAGAAGTGCGCGTGAGTGTGTGTGACGCAATTGTGCGCGCGTGTTTCAGATGAGCAAAAGCAGCAGAAATAAGGTCAAATATATATATTCTCCATTAATGAAAAGAAAAAAATGGTTCAAATAAACACAAATAATATGAGCAGAGGCAGCAACATTTGTGCGTAAAAATAATAATACTAATAAAGTTTACACCAAACAATCCAGAACTTCCTGTCTTTTTTTTCTTTTCTTATTTGTTCCCTTCCGATTTTTTTAAGGCATGTGACGTTTTGTTCTTCTGACACAAACACTTGGCGTAATTTACAACAAGGCAACAGAAAACAAACTTTACATGTTTCTAGAAGTCCACAGAAAAGTTCACACTGTCTGATTTTACAACGTTCGTTCGCTTTCTCCCCTTCTATAATATAATATTCACATTCAAATGCACCAACTTAGAATAAATAAATAAATAAATAAATAAATAAATAAATAAATAAATAAATAAATAAATAAACAAATCACCTCGTGACCGCACCATTCACCTTAAATACATTTGACTTTTTTAAACCTCAAAATTTCGAACTGAATTGTCTCCAAAGTTTTTACCTTTTTTTATCATGTTCTATATTAAGCAAAATGTCCTGTGAGAAGACATTTTTTTAATTTCTAGTAAGCAAAGATTGCATGTTGCTAGATTGCATAGCTCAATTGTCCTTTTTTTATTGCCAACACACTGATTCACTGAAGTCCAATCAACAAACTTCCGAGATGAAGAGAAATGTTTCTTCTTCAGTTGTTTCTTTTAGTTGATTAAAACTGTGTTTTTAAAAGATTTCCAAAATCAATGGCATTTGCTAAAACTGGAAATAATTTGCTTAAAAATCAGAATTTCATATCTGACCTGGGTGGGGTGGGTGGGGGGCAAAATAACAGCCTTTTTTTAATTGTCATTTTCAAAGATTTGATACCTTTGAACGTTTTCATTTTTACAAGACCTTCTTGCGTTTTTTTATTTTATTTATTATTACTATTATTTTTTGCTCTCGTTTGTCAATATGAATTTAGCTGGAGAGGAGCTGTTTACAAACCAACTCATCGTATTTAAATGTTGAATTAAAAAAAACTGGATATTTGGAATTATTGTTTTTTTTAATTGGCTTTTTCTTCTTCGTATTTTTCTGTAGCTGCGCATCAGCGTGTCTGTGTCCGTGCTGTTCCACACTCCGTGCGGGGAAATTGCACGAGAAGCTTGTCCAGCTGACTGCTTAATTGTGGAAGGAACCATTAACCTCCCCTTGTGCTTGAAAGGACTGGCTGCGGACGTGGAGGTCGTAGGGGAAACGGGCCTCTGGGGACACCCGGTACATTGAGTTTGGCGCCAGGGCCGCGCGTCCTGGCGCGCCACAGTAGCGCATGCCATAGTGGCCACTCTTGGCGTAATCCGGCGGCTCCTCGTGTTTGAGGGAGAAAATCCCGTTAAAGTTCATCGGGGGGCTCAGCTGGCCGTCGAAATGTGGGCTCCCGCTCTCCGGGGATGGGTTTTCGAAGTAGGGCTCGTAGGCGCCGCTGTAGCCGTAGTGCCGGAACGGCTTGGCGCTCGGGTCCAAGCTGCCGCCGCTGTGGCCCGGGGGCGAGTTCATGTCTGTTCCGGCGTACGAGTACATGGCTTCGTACGGCGACCTGCCAGAAAACATCACCTCGCCGTTGTGGTCTGTGAGAAAATTCCTTGCGTTCAGCTGCAAACAGCCGGCCACCAAGTTGGTGGTCGGCTGGGATAAACCTTTGCACAAAGTCTGAACGAACGCAAGGAGGTCGGGTCTCTTCCCGGCGCTCAGCGTCTCCGACAGGGCCCAGATGTAGTTTTTAGCCAACCTGAGCGTCTCGATCTTGGACAGTTTTTGAGTTTTGGAGTAGCACGGCACAACTTTGCGCAGACTCTCCAGCGCAGCGTTCAGGCCGTGCATCCTGCTGCGCTCCCGGGCGTTGGCTTCCTGGCGCCGGAGTTTGGCCCTGTCCACCTGCTCCTTCCCGGCCTTTTTTTTCCGGGGCCCCCGCTTTTTGGGAAGCCCGTTCTCGTCCTGGTCGTCCTCCCTTTCGTCCTCCTCCCTGTCAGAAAGATCGTCCTCGACGTCCCTCATGATGTCTGGCTTGGACCTGTCTGGGTTGTGCTGGCGCTCCTGCTCCAGGCTCACAGGTAGATCTTCGCGGGGGTAATTGGCACCAAAGCGCGGCTCACACATCATATGAGGTTCCTCGAATGGCAGCGTCAACATATCTCCTGTAAAATAAATTTAAAATAAATCAATAAAATAAGAGTGGGATCATGAGAGCAAAGAAAAGACTTTTGAAGGTTGTCAGTTAATTACCTTGTGAACAAGTCATCCCAAGAGGGAAAGTAACAAATTGGCACGCGGGGCCAAAGTGACAGCTTTTACCTTTTCAAAGACACTCAGCTTCATTTGTCTTTTGACTTGTGAAATAATAGCATAAGTGTTGAAGGTTTTCTGTTGCATCATATTTGAGAATTACATGAAAGATAAAAGCTGTTTCGGGTATTTAAATTGCACAAAAAGTCAATCAATAATCGAAAATTCATAAGAAAAAAAGATCACCAACCTCTGGTCAGCGTGCACCTTGCATGGCCCCAAATACTGGATCACCCCTGAATCTCCGCTGCAGCTTCTTCTTCTGCAGACCCCTCAGTGTTTCCAGGAGCTGAGAGCCGCGCAGCCTCTGTTCTCCTCTCTCCCCTTCCCTCCTCTCTTTGAGGAATGACACTCATGCCAACAGCGGGTACCCATGCCATCTGCCGCTGACGTCTTGTGGCAGCCGAGACCACGTGCTCAGCGTCCCGTGGGACCTCCACTCCGTACCGATCATCTGGCAGCTCCAGTAATAGGCACCGGGAGGCCCGCGTTTACCGTCAAGAACACAGACCGGTGAGGGATAACAACTAATACCTGCGTCTCCTGCACCTCCTCGTGCAAAGAGGAGCTGGTGTTTCTTTTTTTTTTTTTTTTTTTTTTTTTTTTTTTTTTTTTTTTAGTTGTCTGAAAGAAAAAGGGGGGACGTGCAGGAGGCTGCAGGCTTTCTCAACAAGTAGGTGGGGGGAAAACCCCCACTTTGGTCACAGTTTGACCAAAACCATAATATTAGGTTAAAATCCAAATGCATTATGCTTCTGTTTGGACTTTGGGTTCTGATCCAATAGATACTTTTATTTTTGCTCAATATATTACAAATTGCATGATAGCCTATCAATGATCTGCTGTTTGAAGTTTCAGAGTCCTCAGTTTTGGAATATTTTCTTTCAGTTCTGACTGAATTTTTGACTCTTGTGACCCCTCCAGCTCCAGCAAAAATAATTATATCTTATTTTCTGGGATCTAATCAGTTTTCTGCCACATCATGTTTGGCAATGATGCCATAAAAAGCAGCATACATTGGTCATTTAAAGCTCATCTCTGACATAAAAGTCCTAGGAAGACCACTTGAGTGTCTTCTTCAACTTCAAATTCTTTCTGGATCAAATTTCAAGGCTTTTATATTTCAGATTTGTTGCAGATCTATTTATAAAGTTCTGCCAAAGTTTTAAATGATGTTTAATGTTTCAACCCTTTTACCAAATGTTGACCATTTGTAGAGGACAGTCTGCTGTCCTGTGAATTGTGCAACCAAGCGCCTAAACTCTAAAAAACTAACAAATGCATTTGTTTACTCAGCATACTTTGTAACCTACCCAATTTATTTTTAATTTCAGCCTATACTACTTCTAATATGTCCCATACTTCTTCAGACACAACTACAAAAAGCCACAACGATCGTTTTACAAGCATGAACGAGTTGGCAAACTTGGCACACGTGTTGTTCAACATGCTCATGCATAAAAAATAATAAAATAGACAAGTTGAGAACAAAATACAATATGTAAGCCTAAAAAAATATCTGCAGCAGATGGATTGTATCTGAATGGGATTTCCAAAGAAATGGGAAGAAATTCATCAAGAATTGACAGAGAACCTGAAAAAGGCTTACTTTTTACACAATCTTTGTTGAAGATGATGCATATCTCTGTGGAAATCCTATGGAGTGCATCCAGTTTTAGTTTTTGTTTACCTTGTGACTGTCCTTATTCTACAGTATTATGGTTTTAAAAATTTGCAGCATCTGAAGAAGTGCATGAGAAATTATTAGACTTTGCTAAGTCAGCCAACAAAATGTAATGCTTTAAAGTTACATTAGGGTTAGGCTACTTAAGTTTTTAAGCCCAGGTCTTTATTTTTTTTTCTCTACCCTCCATTCACATGTACTTGCTTTTCCTTCCAGGGTCACAAGGAACTGTGGCCTATCCACTGGGCAAGATGCAGGTTACAGGTAGTCCAACCTGACAACTGTTATTCTTGAACAAATGATCTAATCCTGGTCCTTGAGGACCCCTATCATGCATATTTTAGCAGTTCTTCTACTCCACATGTGTCAAATACAAGGGGGACTTCTGTGTGGCCCGCCAGGGGGGGTGGGGGTACCCCCCACAAAAAAAAACAAAAATTTTTTTTTAAACTTAGCATGAAAGTTGTTTCTTTTGTCAATGGTAAAACTTAAATTTATTATTAAATGCAACAAAATAAATTTAATAAAAACAAAAGAAATAAAATTAAAATTTAATAAATTCCTGTCCCTGAGCTGTTGGCTTTAAGTAACTGAGTGATTTAGTTGGATAGCACTGTATTAATGTCTGAAAATAAGCTGCTCAAAGTCAGCATCAACCACAAACTAAATAATATTTCTGTATTTATTTCAGATTTAGTCAGTCATGCACTTAGTTCTTATCAGTGTTTAAAAGAGGACATATTAAAACACTGTTTAGTCAAAGTTAAACATGAAACATCAAAGCCCTTCGAGGGCCACCATTACGCTCATGTGGCCCTCGGTGAAAATGAGTTTGACACCCCTGCTCTACTCTAACACACCTGATTTGAATAAATGGGTGATTACCAAGCTTCTGCAGAACTTGAGAAGGAAATACAACCACTGAAGCAGGTGTGTTGGAGCAAGGAATCAAAGAAAACATGCAGGACAGAAGCCCTCGGGGACCAGGATTGCCCATCCCTGATCTAATCAGTAATCTGTCCCTCGTTTGTTTTCTTTACTATCTGAAATTAAAATAAACATTTAAACATTTCCTTTAAGTTCTTGCATTTTGTTTTAAACTGGAGGTGACTTGGCAGTGCAGAAGCAAATGTCCCTCAGAGAGAAGGTCACAAGATCGCCTCCTGGCAGGCAGAATTTTGGGTGGGGTTTGCATGGTCTCTTCCTGCATGAGTGCTTTGTGTGTGTGTGTGTGTGTGTGTGTGTGTGTGTGTGTGTGTG